ACTGAAGCGATCTTCTCATCAAGAAGACAAGATCAGGGGACTTGAACACCTGATGCAGCAAGTGGCACATACACACTCTCCAAGGTGCTGATCTCCTCTTTTATTTCTCTGAAAAAATCTGCATAAAGTTACTGTGGAAAGACCACCTTTTTTTTTTTTTTTTTCATTATGTTTTTATTGATTTTTTAGAGAAAGAAGAAGGGAGAGAGAGAAAGAGAGATTTAGAAGCATCCATGTGAGAGAGAGAGAAATATTGATCAGCTGCCTCCTGCCCGCCCCCTACTGGGATTGAGCCCACAATCTGGGCACGTGCCCTGACTGGGAATTAAACCTGGACCTCTTGGTCCATAGGATGACGCTCAGTCCACTGAGCCACACCTTTCTTATCAGAAACATACTCTGTGTTTTATGAAGACCTTAATAACAATCTTGGATTTGGAAGGGACCTTAGAGATAACAGAATTCAACATACCTCTTTTAAAACATAAAAAAAACTGAAACTCAGAGGAATTAGTCCCGTTTGCCATCATTCGGCAAAAGAGCTTTCATCCAAATCTGCCAATAACCAGACCGGAGCCCTTTCTACTGTACTTTGCAACCCTGGAATTAGAAGAGTTGGGATAGGAATTGCATTCCTGCCTAAGGAGAACAAGGAGAGGGAAGCTTCCATAGAAAAAAGTCCATAAAAAGTTAAATAGCTGTTTGTTATTCTTAATACATGGTGACAGAGTCAACTAAGTCCTCTCTTCCTTGCATGCCCTATGTAAGAACTAACAAATTGTGTGTGCTCAATACATAGGAAGCCTTCAACTGCTTCAAAGAATAACAAGACCTTAAACGTGTTTCCTAAGCCCCTAGCACCAATGAATTTGTAGTTTTATAAATATCACGGTGAACAAGAAATGCTGTCTTGTCATATTCAAGCCAAATAACAGCTGGACTTTAAAAATAAAATTTTGAAGGCATTTGCCTTTTATATTTTTAATTTCTGTTTTCCCAGCTTATCGCTTTGTCATTTGATTTTGATGAGTGGTTAATACACATGCACAGCTGCCTGTTTTGGTGACCTTTCCCTTGCCGCTTCCATGCTCGGAGCTATGGAGCAGGTCTACAAGTTGCTTACTAAGGGATACTGGCCCTTTCAGGACTGGCAGACATTTGCCATGGAAGCCCGGCTGGAACAGGGCCTGGTCTCCTAGGCTGGCTGACGTCAGTCACCTCAGAAGCCCCACAAGAGGATGGGGTAGAAGGAGAGGGAGGACGCAGCCCCTTGAGACTGCTGTTCTGTGTTATTCCCAATAGCCAAGACGTGGAAAAGAACTTAAGTGTACATTGACAGATGAATGGATAAAGAAAATGTGATACAGATACAGTGGAATGTTATTTATCCATTAAAAGAAAGAAAGAAAGAAAATCCCGCCATTTGCAGCAATGTGATGGACCTTGAAGGCATTATGTGAAGTCAAATAAGTCAGACAGAAAAAGGGTAAATACTGCCTGATCTCACTTACATGTGGAATAGAAAAAGGCCAAATGCATAAAAGGGCTGGGGGTGGGAAAAGTGGGTAGATATTGGTCAAAGGTTACAAACTCCCAGTTGTAAGATGAATAACCTCTGGGGATCTAATGTACAGTCTGGTGACTACAGTTAACAATTTTGTATTCTACCTTTGAAAGTTATTAAGGGAGTAGATCTTAAATTTTCTCACCAAAAATTATATAATTATGTTAGGTAATAGATGTGTAGGCTAACCTTACTGTGGTAATCGTTTTCCATTATATACACATACAAACCCATCACGGTGTACACCTTAAATTTCCACAGCGTTATAAATCAATGATATCTCAATAAAGCTTAAGAAAATGAACTTGTTCTGTTCCAAAGCCAGAGGACACAGGGACATGAGCACGTAAGGACTGTGAGGCGATGACATCTGGGCTGCAGCCACAAACCACCTGCCATCCGGCTTACCTAAGTAGCTTTCCCTCTGAATCTCCGTGGGCACAAAGAAGTCTTGATCTGCTTAGGACTTTTCTCAATGATAATTATGTCTGTTTGTCTGTCTGTCTGTCTGTCTGTATGCATTTTCCTTTTAATCGTGTTTACTTCCCTAGACTTTAAGCTCTAAGAGGCCAGGAACATCCTTTGGTCCATCCAGTGTCTAGTTCAGGGACTGGCATACAGCAGGCACTCCAGACATGCTCGTTTGTTTGCTTGTTTGCTCGCATTTTAAGGCCACAAACGGACAGAAGGAGTTAATAAATGTTTGAGTTATTCTGTCCCTTCAGTCCCCTCTTACTCCTCCTGCAAGGAGAAAGGAGCAAGTGGAGCACGCATTCTGTGTACCTGTTATCTACTTGGACTTTAATGTGAACTGTGACTCCAGCAGGCTTGGCAATCAGCTCACACTTGAACAGATGCCAGGAAATATCCTGAAGTCAGCAGAGGCTGCTACCCATCCCAGCGGTCCTCACAGAGGCACTGTGCTTCTGTTGGTATTAGAGCCTGTAACCTGACTCCATTCATGAACTCACAGTCCCCCAAAACACATGAGGGCTCAATGGCAACTCTGGGCAAGCTCCTGAAGGGAGGTTTGCACACGCTCCTTAAGCCCCTGGGTCACTATAGCCCTTCTACTATTACACTCATCAGGCACTGCGGCCGTGTGTGACAGTGGCACGAGGGTGGTGTGCGTGACTCGCTACACTTAAGGGAGAGGAAATGGGCCATTCTGAGGAAGGACACACAGAGTTTCTTCAGAAAATAAAGGCACTACATACATATACCTCGGTGTAGACAGGGCCTGCAGCACAGCACAGTATTTAAGACCTCGCCTGGGTACTGGAGCCAGGCTGCCTGGCATCGACTATCAGTCTGCACTTACTAGCTGTGTGGCCTGTGGCAAGTTACTTAGTGGCTCTCAGCCTTCATCTTCTCATCTATAAAATGGAAAAAATAATAATACCTTTTTTACAGAGGTTTAAATTTAAAAAATGTGTGTGAAGCCCTGGCCATTGTGGCTCATCCCATGCACCAAAGGGTCGCCGGTTTGAATCCTGGTTTGGGCACATGCCCAGGTTTTGGGCTCGATCCCCAGTATGGGGCGTGCAGGACGCAGCCTATTGATGTTCCTCTCTCACACTGATGTTTCTCTTTCTCCCTCTCCCTTCCCTCTTTCTAAAATCAATTAAAGCACATTTTTTAAAAAGTGTGTGTGAAAAATGTAGGACATTCTCTGGCATATTGATAAATGTTTGCCCCCTCCCACCAAAAAAACCCCACAAAAAACCATAATCAGGAATTTTGTTTGAATTGAGACAATCTGGTATTGAATGGAATTTCCAAAGATATTTCTATACAATGTGCTTTTCTATAATTAAGTTTTCCATTTTTTCTTTCATAATGGTTAATAACTCTGACCATAATTTTTAACTTACCTAGAACACAATATCAACTAGATTATTAATATTGCTAAGAGGTAACTTACTATATTTATACCCATTGTACGGTTAAAAAATAAAGAAGGATAAATGACAGATTAAGAACACTCTGTTAAGACAAGGGTGAGGATAGAACTCTAACTCGTAGTCTACTGAAAAAACAGACTGAATACTTCAAAGTGATGAAAAATATTATTTCATTGTGTACAGTCAAAGACAGTACAGTCTTACTACCAAACTCAGAAGGGCCAGACCCGAACACTGGCTCCCAGGTCAAGGACCCTCAGTCCTCAGCAGAGAAAAGCCTGCACTTCTAAGCGCCTACAAACATGCGGGGGTCCCTGTGTTCTTGGCACACGGTGTTCACAGGACACGGTGAGCATATTTCTGGTTGTGAGTCCTCTTTCTCCCTCCTGCTCCTCTTCCTCCTCCTCCTCCTCTTCTCTTCTCTATTCCCCCACTCCCCACACACACACATACCAATCGGAGTTTATTTTAATACCTTGTCCCCAGGATTATCACTAAACATTAGTGTCTCCTACTGGTATGAAAACCTGCCTTTGGAACCCTCTGCAGTGCTTCCCGGCGTCTGACACCGCTCATGTCTCTGCGCTCGTGCCCGTTTCCGGAGTGCCTGGGACAGCCACCGCGAGCCGCACCCGTTCAGATGCTGCTACGACATGTCTTCGTGTATTTTTGAGGGATTGGGTCCTGGGAGAAATACTGCCGGTAACGGATAATAGAAAGAGTCTCCCTCTGAAGCTAGAGGACTGTAGCTGGGACCCAGGATAAGGGAAGTATTGTGTTACTCTGCAGAGAACAAATTAATCTTCCCTGACTGCTGGGTGGGGGAGAGTCTGCCAAAGGAACAACTAACGAGGAAACCAGTCCCTACTCTGTGATGACACAGTAAATAACCAGGCAACATTACTACTAAAGTGCTGACCTAACTCATAAATTGCACCCAGCCCCTGGGGAGCAATTTCTGCTGGCTTGATGCTTATGCATTTAAAACGAACGGAAGGGAAGAGGAGTGGACAGGCACTGACAGCGCTGTGGGTAAACACCCTGCGAGGGAAGCGGGTCTGTCCATCCAGACTTTCCAAGGACTCCAGTCATGGTTGTCACCCAGACCCAAGTCATTATTAACTTTATGCCAAATCTGCTCAAACCATCATTTGGGTCCCAAAATGGCTTAATTGCCCCAAGGGAATCACTTGAATTGAGGTTAAAAAAATCCTCCTTTGTATGTTTGTCCTTTTTTTAAAAAAACAGGAAGATAGTCAAGTGAATGAAAGAATTCTGTTGTTCATTGGAATGCTTTATTTTAAAGCGAAATGGCACCTTGAAGTACTTGGATTGCCGTGTGTCCAGTAATGTAAGATCTAGCTGCATCTCAAAGTCCCCAACTATAACATACAATGATAACATTTCCTCTGCTTTGCCAAGGAAACCAAGCTGGAACTCCCAAGAAGGAGCATCAGGACCCTATGTCTAACTTAGACACACCTTCAGAAACACCCAGAGCAGCAGGAAAGAGCTACGGAAGAGCCACTCACCCTCTGCATCTTCTGGCCGAGTAAGATCGATGACACCCGGGCCCAGCTTTCCATCTTCACTTGACTTGCCTGTTAACTGGGGCCCCAAATTCTCAAAGCGCGTTCTTTCCTAGAGGAAAGAATAATCAGAGTCTTATTCTAGCTTCCAGAGCAGCCACATTTTCCTCCCGGTTTCTATCTTGTTTAACAGGCAAAACTTGGATTTACAAACATCATTTCTGTTCATCTTAGGCTCAGAACGTCTTTCCGGAAGATTCCACTGAAGCCGGATTGGAGCCCTGACATGCTGACGGGTTCTAAACCACAGGGCCTGGAAGGGAAGGAAACCCGGGACGGCCACCCTGCCCGCCCTGTGCCGTGCGTCTCCTCTGTAGTGGATTTGCTCCCGCAATCTAGAAGGAATGCTATTGAGAATTTTCAGCCAAAAGTGCAACACTGGAGAGAGCAGTTCCATTAAAATAGATGGACTGCTATTTAATGGGAGAGGCATGTTCTCATTTAGAGAGCGTACGTTTCACTGGTATTCCTGGTTTGAAAACACACATCGGGGTTTTATGCAAGAGGATTTCAAGAACACATATTTCAAAGCAGGCAAACTAGACAGCGGCACTGCCGCTATTATTTTGCCCAGGAGTTTCAGCGGTAACTTCCTGGGATGTGAAAAGGAGGACATGACTCCTAGCCAGCCATTGAGTCAAGAAAGTTAAATACTCCTGCCACTCTAGGAGGGAAACCCAAGCTGTTTTCCTGGTTAACTGGTTCTTCTAGAGGCGGGGTCTGAGACAGCACAGTGAGCTCTCCTCCGCAGCTCTGCAGAAGGCTCCCTGGGCAGCACTAACACGGGGGGTTCTTGTCTACGTTAACACAGCGCGGGTCCCCTCCTTGCCTCCTTGCTGCGCTCCAGACTCAAACTTGGCTTTGTGCTATGCTTATGAATGAATGAAACCGTGTTGTTCATTACTATGAAACAATATTAAATGTCATGTCAGCTTGAATTTACAGACATGAAATTGCAGCTCGCAACTCCGGGAATGGTTTGTGCATGTTATACGTGATGCATTATGCAGCAGGAGAGGGCTGGTTGCTGCTCAGTCTATTGTTCAGTGACCTAGTTCTCTACTGAGCATGTTTGGCATTAGACAGAAACACGCCGAGTGTTCTTTTCTAGAAGATGTTTAGAAACTTGGAAATGTTCTTAAAGAGCAAACATACAATTACTTGATAGAGGCTGTGTCTCGTTTGTACAGTCTCACTACGTTTGTGCTTTCTAATATGATTATTTCTGAATATCATTATATTTCTATAATTAATTCCCATCAGTCAAATTGTGCAGAAAGTCTTCCAGTTCCCCTTCATCATGGAATGTGTTGAAATCTGTGTTGGAAGAAAACACAGCATAAACCTTGCTTTAATCTAGCACCATTTCTATGAAAGCATTACAACAAAATTATCATTATGCATTTCCCCAACTGGGTAACACTAGTTACAACCATGTGGGGAAACCTCTAAAATACAACACTTACTAAAAAAAAAAAAAGAAAAACAGAATGAAAATACAAAGCAAACTAGGTATGGCTCCCCAGTATCTTCGGAAGTGAAGACAGCGCTGCGAGAGAACAGATGAGCCCAAACACAGGCCGCGGCAGAAAGTGCCTGCAGAGCCAGGTGGGGGGTTCACACGGCATCGAGGGAGGACAGCTACTTTCACTCAACCAGGTCCTATTTTTGAGTAGCACTTCTGGCTGTCATGATGTAAAGAAAAAGAATTAAAGTGAAGATGAGTGGCTCCAGGGAAAGCACAATATTCCACCTTTGTCTTGTCACATTGTTTCCCATCTCAAATATTTGCACGTGAACGCTTCCCGGTGTCGGCGTTCGGATGTGACACCTGCAAAATCTGCTGAAGAACCACCTTCCACTGTGTTTTCATGGAGGGGGAACAACTTTCTCTGAAGATCAACAGACCCTGCTACCTATCAATATGCATATTTCAAGTATCTTTCTAGTCACTCATTCTCTTTGATTTTACTGGAAAATATTCTCAGTAAATAAATAAATAAATAAAGTTCCTAAAAGAATATCAATATTTTGACAAGGAAGGAGATGAGGGAAAATTGCACGCCATGGTTTGTAAAATCCTAAGACAACAAAGCTTACATGATGATGATATATTTTCTTTTATATAAAAAAAAAAAGTGCACTCGCAATTCAGTAGTATCAGCTTGTTTTTAATCATAACAAAAAACATTCAGAACATTCAACAACACATTCACAGTGTCTCTGAAGTCATGCATTTTTCTGACTTCACTGAAAAAAAAATTCTTCTGCAGAGATACTTTGCTCATAAAATATCAATATTTTGACATGGTAGAAGTCAAGGAAAAATACCCCATGAAACACTTGTTAAATAGGCAGAAAATAAATCAATGATGAAAACTGTTTGGGGTGGTGGGCTGCATTTTATATTTGGTAATATTAAGCACTTGTGTTTGAGATTAAAGTAGGACCCCGCAAAGTCATGCCGTTCATACAAATTTCTACCTAGTCTCCCAGAAGATTTCCTTCTTTTCTTCAAAGAATAGCTCAGAATATTTATTTTCCAGCCACATAACCATAAGATAAGAGGGCCTGATGTCTACACGTTAGCTCTGGGCAGCTGAGCTAAGCAAAGATTTTACTAGTGAGGTTGAATGCGAGCTTAGTAAATACAGGATGTGGACATGGGCACAGGGAGAAATTCAAGGCTACTTTAATTCAAAGAGGCTTCAACTTCTAGCCATTAAATGCCAATGGGTATGCTCCTATATGGAACAAATATAAACTGTGGATGGCAAGTTCTTAACTCTAAATTTTTCCATGCACTTGGACAAGCTCTCACAATGTACTTAGCTCCCAAGTAAGCTATTTTGGAGATATAAGCAAAACACCTCCATGCTAACTTAACCTTAACCCCCCAGGAAAATTCCCCAGTTGTCACCTTGATAGAGAAATGTGCATTCTACATGCAATGATGTGATCACTGTGATGCGTATGCATTGTCCGTCACTAACATGCAGGCAACATCAAAGTTACTGAAAAAAATGAAAGTCAGCTCTGCTGTGTTGTAGGACGTTGGCTAAGTGCTTTGAAATTATGATGTATGAGGTAGATGTTGCATATTAAATAAAGATATTTAAATGATAAAGCCCCCTTTAGTGAGAGCTGATGAATGTTAAATGTTACAAGCCACAGGACCAAGGCATCCGTCATCTTCACATGTTATCAGAGTCAATGACGGGGCAGCCTCACTCATGATAGATAGACTGCCGCATTATTATCCCTTATTTCCAGAGTCACTGAACAGACCATTCAACTCCTCAGGCATTAGTTTTAACTTTGCATTAAATTAGCAACTTTTCCCTCCCTACCATGGCAAGATTGATCCATGTTGTCTTTGCATCAGTGGAGAGAGAGAATGGATTTGGGGTAACTAAAAGAACAGAGGTTTGTTTCCATCTAGGGAAAAAAAAATCAACTTCCTTGTACTGGCAACAAATGTAAAATTGTGATATGGGGAAAGAACAGCAATGAAACAGTAAGCACACAATAATGGCTTTTCTTTGCGCTTAGATAAAAGCTGAATTTTTGATGTGCACAGTATATTTTAATAAAATTTTATATACTATGTTTTATACACTTATTGGCTATTCCATAATAATGTGTGTGCTAACAGTAAAATTGCTCTTAAATTTATGTGTGTTATTTATACGTTCCCACGTAACAATGCTTTTTGTTGTAAAAAATATTCTGTTTATTAATGTAACTTTACAACCACTGCATCCGAGATCCGTGGTAAATTAATGACATTTTTATTATTTTATAGTGTCATTAAATTTTTACTGATCACTCCATCAAACAGAGGCAGTAAAGGCCATAATGTAAACGGGGACACTTAGATCAGGCAGCAGGAAGACATTCCATATACTCTGAAGAAAACTGCTAGCCATAAATGATATTTATACCATCTTTAAGCATGTTGGAATACTTAGATAAGTTTGGCAAAACTGTTTCAGTAGTAGAGTGGATTGTGTACTTAAATAACGGTTTGCTTGCCAGCGAGACAAGCCTTTCACACTGTGTGTGAGATGACTTACTGCAGCCATCTCCTGGAGAACAACATGTGAAACGTGATGATGCCATGGCACCCTCCCCTCTGGACTGCCGAGACTGACCAGCCCATGCCACACCTCAAACGATGTCAACACGGTACCCTCTTCTACAAGCTGAAATGGAAAACCGTCCATGCCGAGAGAGGCTTTTTGTTTGTTGCATTACAAACATATAGCTTTCATTTGACAGGTAGATATGGCTGGACAATGATGTGATATGTTTTATTCCAATGCTCTAAATAAGAGGTGCTTTACCAACCTTTGTTCAAAGCTCGTTTCTAAAGGATGTCAGATTATGGGGCCATTCATAACAGCTACAGAAAATATTCCTAAGGGGTCATTACCTATATTGCAGTTAAAATAGGTAAAAAATAATTATCTCATTACTTTTACATGTAAAATACATTTAATTAATATACCCTACAGTGGCTCAGTCTGTCTACAGAAGGTGTGTGTGTGTGCGTGCGCGTGTAAGTGTACACACATATATAATACAAATATTGTATAATACTTTATAAAATATATACATATTATATATTATATTTCGGTACAGTATATATTAAACTGATAAGAACAGATACTACACTTGATCTTAGCCAAAAGGCCGAGAAGCGATGTTTTTCTGTACAGTATATAGAAGACAGTAAATAGAAAATTTTATGCTCATGTAATCACAAATTTAAAACCACCTATCTCCTGCATGGGGTTTTGACATGAATATTTTTTAAGGAAATAAGAATTTCATTGTTATATCCTAAAATATTGTCTTTAAATATTAAAGACTTGTAAAATCGCTTAGATTTGCAACAAGAGAAATGTGCAGGGAAAGTTAATACTGCAGCGCCACCAGTCATGTCTGTGTGTGCTCCTGAAGCAACGTTTACTAAGAGAAATAACAAACACATGCATTATGAATGAAAATTCTCTAAGGCCACCACAGTATTCTGAGATCTAATCTATC